GATCCATGTAGACAAAGAAAAAAATGTAGACAGAGAAATTGTATTCCACTTATTTTGTTATGATCTCGGCCCCAAAAATATACGAGCCAGAAGTTTGGAGTTATTTGGTACTAGTCACTATAAAATGGCGAATTAGTAGACAAAAAGACAATTATTTGTGTATATTTCTTTTTCCCCTTTGGAAATGACGTTAATTAATTAGTAGATGCGTAAATGTATACTGTACATGAAAATTTATTAAATACGACGTATCATGTTCATGCATGAACGGTACTCATATTTAAAAAGTTAGATGGTCGATGTGTTTATTGTCTATTTCTGGTGGAACTATGCGAGGAGAAAACTAAATATTTTTGGATTTTGTATGGAACTTTAGTGTGAGAGTGTGACAAAAGATGACAAAATGTGAGCCTCTTTTGCAGGGTTATATGAGCCTACCTAAGAGGCCAGCTCGGTTGGGGCGTTCACGTTTGTCAATGTCTAATGTGTCCTCAAAATATCAAAATAAATCAAAGATTTTTGTTTAACAGATAAGTTACGAGTCCAGTTTTATAAAAAGATGTGGTGTGCACTTGTAATCTTCAGTAAAACGGTAATGAAAAACGACATACACGATTAATATGTTCATGTTTTATTTAGTAATATTGGCTTCGCAACTTATAAAAATGTCATCCTATAATCCGACGTCGTCAAACTGATATACCAAGTTTATTGAATACATTTTCATGTTTTATTTAGTAATATTGAAGTGGACTAACTTCATAATGATTTTTAATGACATTTCATAGTGTTGATATATATACTCTTTAAAATGTACTATAGCCACCGTGTTTAAGTACGTATACATGATAAGCATAATTCTCTTCTGATAAATTGAGCTACCGTACGCTTGTGTAAATACAATTATAGTACGAGATTTCAAAATTCGTTAAATTTATTGATTTTCTTATAATCTGTACTCTGTAGTATGGTATGTGACATATTTAGTCAAGTGTAAATGTCAATTTGTTACTATATTTGTTATAAGTGCTTCCACTGTTCCATATATATGAAATGCTTCAAAAGCTTACAAAGTGGGTCAATGAGCGAGGTAGGGGTCTAGGTGTTGCTACTGATCAAGCCAACAAATAAGTTCGGTTTAAAGTCTTGACCAATCACTGTCCATTAGCAAATCTATGTTCATGAGCAAGTTTCCTTAGTATGTGTGTTTTTAGAAAAACAATTATGGGAAAACTATTTGTACAATTTTGTGTAATTGAAATTCTGTTTTTTTTTTTTCGGAACAATGAAACCCTATATGAAACATTCAGTATTTATTTTCCAGTATTTCCGGTTTCCTTTCGAAGTTAGGATCTTCAGAAAAATAGACTGTTATTTTGTTTACAATTACACCTAACCGGGTTGGTTTAATTTTGAGTCTTCTTTTGACTGGGGACGAGAAGCCACGGTCATACAAATGGTTATCAGTAATAATAATTACATAAAGAGGGTTGGTTATAACTCAAAGATTAAAAATGCCTCAAAGTAATTTTAAAGGCGAACATGTAAAGAAAAAAGTTACCTCAAAGTGTATGAAATTTTGTTAAGAAAACTTAATTTAAACAACTTGCGTACGATGCCTTTTTCGATACTCCAAAAAGGAGGACTATATATGTTTATACATATTGAAAATGGTACGAAAAGGAAAAAGAATTGAATGTTACGAACACGGATTCACGTGAGTAGAGAGACATCATGATCCTTAGCGTCCATGTTATATAATATACTCACTAATTTAAGATATCCTTATCAAGCATGCATCATACATACAAATATATTATGTGTGCATGTATGGAGTTATATAAATTATCAATTGCAAACACAAGTATAGCCATAATTACTCGTTTATGGATATGATAGTTTTAATTCAAGATCAATGGAAATAATCATGCTGTTACATGGTATAACTTCGAAACATGTTTTCTTTTGGTAAATATTGATACTGGTTGAATTTGTTGAAGGACACAGTTTTTTTTGTAAGAGTCTAATATTTATAATATTTTAAGTAAAATGTAAACTAATTATAAAAGTCAGAGAAGTTCTTCTACAAAATTCATAATAGTCCATTCGGGATATCGGTAAAAGATGTTAGAAAGCTGATTGACAATACATGTAAGTCATAAAATAAAATCAATACTTGAACTGGTTCTTCCAAAACCGAGAATTGTAATAAAACTAATACACTTTTCTTGTTAAAGTGATTGTATGGCCGAAAAATACAATATAATATGGAGATTTACCGTTGCCATGTTAATTTTGTGTTTGGTATCTGAAATCTGATAGAAATTATTTTTCATTTTTGAGTAAGAGAAGAAAACAAAGCAATTAGACTACGACTATATTTTTGATAGATTTTATAATCAATGATAAATTATGTGTATTTATATAACATATATTTCATGTGGGTAATGATGGTGTGATCATTCGAAATAAAAGGCTTACCGGTGGAGCGGTGAACTCCAATATCTTTGTCTAAAATAGTAGTATAAAATAAAATAATAAAAGCAGTGTAATAATGTAACTATTGAATAAAATAAACGCAGCTAATATTACTTCTGTGTGTTTATGTAATCGAATAAAAGAACAATATGATAGCTATTATTGGAAACGAATAAGGCGTACGTATGATGTCTCTGTCTCGGCCATAACAGACCAAGTGGTGGTAACCTTACTGAAACCTTCTTGGGACAATGTCCTTTCACGTCACAAAAGCGAAAGCAAAAAAAAAACATTATTACTTTCTTTTACAAAACCACATTTATTAGATCTTAATTTTATAAAAAAAAAAACACATATCAAATACAGAACGTATTAAATGTTATTTAAAATTTAAGGTCTATGTGTGTGCTTAACTTTTTTCCACGTAAATATTTTTTTTTTGAAATATGTCATGTGTCACCTACTTTTCTCCGACATTGACCGAAATTTCAAATAAAATTCTTAATTTCATATACTTTCCACTCGTTATTGTGTCTTTAAGAAATATACCAACCGGCAAGAAGCCAACCAGCCAACACGAAGGAAGAAAAAAGCGACGTCCAAAATCTTCGTTGCTGCATTAAGTTCTAATATGGTTCAGACCAAAAGAAAGTTAGAAGATGGTAAGACAAAGTAAAGAGTTAGGAATCTCACTTAGCTTCTTTAACAAAAAAATAATAATCTCAATTAGCTTGATAATTGATATCTTATATTGGTATAGAATCTCACTTAGCTTGATTAGCTTAACAATCTGCATCCTTTAGAATCTCACTTAGCTTGATTAGCTCAACAATCTCAATTAGCTTAAAAATCTGCATTATTAAGAAATTCTGTTAGAAATAGTTAGTCTATTGGTCTACAGAATAGGTAACTTTGTTTTTACTGCAACATAAAACTGGCATACAAACCGAAATCGATTACGAAACAGTCTATATCACCACACACACGAAAATCGATTAGTAAATTTTAATTTGATTCATGAACGCTCAATGGTTTACAATTATCGTGTTTGGGAAAATGCAACATTAACTTATAATCTCGTTAAGAATTGTGTGATGATGATCTCATATCTAAAATGCAGATTGATCAAGAATATGGATTAATTTGATTTTGAGTATCCATCCTGAAAAGTTCCATAGAGGTGTAGATTGTTTAGTTCGGACCACTACTGCCAAAACAGTTGATTATTCTCTTATTAGTATCACACGATAAGATTTCCCTACAAAATTATTCAATATTTACTCATCTTGAATCATGGTTACCTTCGGTCCGTGCTTCTCATTATGATAATGATCTCTTACCTACGAACACTTTTCTCTCAACGCACAACGGCACAAGCCAATGCAGAAATGCAAACGATCGTATAATTCGTAGCTCAAACTGTCTGTTTAGAAGCTTTGTCTACAATCAATAGGATAAGTTTTATCTCTGTGCTTTGTATACACTTCTTCCTCTCTCTGTTATGTCTAAAAGGACTTTTCCACAACTGATAGGAAACAATGTCACTACTTAATGGATTTTGTTCTTAAACAATATCAATTATGGGTACTTTTGTTCTTGGTACTTTTGAGTTGAACTAATTAAAGACATTTGGTTATTTTAGAAAATTTCAACAATATCACTACTTAGTGGATTTTGCCAAATAAACCGGAAGCGTCATCCCGCCATCGATCGTCCATTACACGTTGTAAGGTAGCATCCTTTACATCATCATATTGGTCATTTTATTTGTAAAGTCAGCAGAAAAATTTACGTTGATGTCTTCATTTACTATCTCTTGTTCACCATGTCTTATTATGTTCTTAATACCACGTTTTTCATTCTGGAAGATAAAAGTCTAACTAAGGCTAACATTTGTAATTCTGAAAATAGTTTCATTAATATTCCTCCCTGCAAAGGTTTGTTATTTTTTCCATTATTATTCTTCTTTTTCTTTTGCGTTTCTATCATAGATTGTAAAATAGATAAGTTTGCGTCGAACCATTTCAATGTTAAAATTCTTATTTTATCACTACACGAGAATTTTATGAACTCCCATAGATACATTTCTATGTGTTCTTACCAACATTAAAAAAAAAAAAAAGAAAGTAAAACATAAATCAGACCAAACCCGAAACCCCTTCAGTTCAGTGGCTACGACCGTAATTTGCGCCTTGTCGTATGACATTCACAAAGAGAATGCCACTTTGGCTTTTCTAAATTAAATTATTAACAAACTAAATAAATGCAAATGCTATAAATATGACTTAAAAATTAAACACGTTCGTGCAACTAATAACACATTTAATTAATAAATAAGAACAAAAACTCATTAACTATTTTCCCACTATTTCTCCAAAACTGTTATACAAGCTCCTGACAAAACTAAATTATTAATTTTTTTAAAAAAGCTCATTAAATTAAAATAAATAAAAAACATCAAAATTTTGCAGTCGCCCCCATAGATATTTGCTGATGGTTCTCTTGTGGCCGGCTCATGGACATTAAACGACTAATAGATCTGATATCAATGAATCATCGAAATCACTGAACAATGAACCAATATCTTTGATACTGGAAGAACAAAACTCATCTCCAATGTTCATACTTTGATCATCCAAGAACATATCGTTGAAGATAATATCTTCATTTTCCGAAAACGCTTGACCCATTGGTTGATCGAATATTGAAATCTCCGGTGGCGATTCGTTGAAATAGTTGTCGAGAAACGGGGTGTCCAACGGAAACGAATCGTCTGTTTCGCCTGAACCGGTATTAAACCCGGTATGCCACCATGGTGCATCTGAAATTTCCGGTTCCGGTTTAGCTGATTTAAACGGCTGTTGTATTTGTTGTACTTCTTCGGATGATCGGAGATTGAGAACCGATGTAGGAGACGAGAGATGGTGAAAGTCTTCGGTTGATTCGCAACTCGATGTGGTTGTTGTTGTTGTAGTAGTAGTAATGTTGCTAACCGGTTTATCAATAACCAGTTCTTCCGGTTCTTCTTCTTCTTGAGACTGAGGCGGTATAGAGAAATTGGTTAGAGCGTCCGGTCCACGAAGTCTAATGGCAGCGTTATCATAAACCACGGCGGCTTCCTCCGCCGTTTCGAAAGTCCCGAGCCAAATCCTCCGACGTTGCTCCGGATCTCGAATCTCCGCCGCCCATTTTCCCCACGGTCGTTGTCTAACACCGCGGAACTTCCTTCCGTTTTGGCCGGCAGAAATGGAGACCTTGAGTGGACGGTGACGGTTCGACGCCGGAGATTGAGTTTCATCGGAGAGTCGCTTCCTTTCCTTCATTGAAACTCCGGTGATATTGATGTTGTTGCAGCCTGGCTCGACTTTGATCTCGTTAACGAATCTCCTGACTCGCCGGCGAGGAAAGAGGAAGTCTTCTTCTTCGTCACTTGATGAATCCGTTGCGTCAGGATCGGTTACACAGACACGAACGACTCTCACTGGGTCAGGACGATTTTCGCCGGAGATATTTTTTGCCGGTGACTTTTTGGTGTATTTAGTGACTGATGTTTTGTGCTCTGTGTACTTCAATGGTCGAAAATCCATGTATTCGTCCATTTTCAACTATTTTCTTTTCTTTCCTCTCTCTGTTCGCATCAAAATCAAAAAACGAAAAGAAAGGGATTATAAAAGGAAGCTGAGCTTGCGAATCACGGAAAGTTTCTGGGTTTGTTGAGAAGAGATATCGAGAGAATCAAATTGAAAAAAAAAACTTGTGAAAGATTATCACGAGAATTTAGTAAAAACTAATATAGAAAAGAAAAGTGTGAAAAGATCGAAGATTTTCTTTCTTTTTTTCTCTTTGTTTGGGTGGGTGAGAGAGAAAACGTGTTTTGAAACAGTGATTTTAAAGATTTGAGACCTTCTCATTTCTCAAGCTCACTCTTAAAATCCTCATTTATAGGATCTGTTCGGGAGAGAGAAAGTGTTTTTAGCCGTAATTATTTTAATCATAATTTTTTTATATTTCTTATTATAATTTGATTTCTTTCTGTTCCTTTCCGCTCCTTCAACAGTGGCATTTCCGATGTTATTCATTAAAAACAGGGGTAGTTTCGGAATAAGAATCGGTGTTTTAAAAATACGGGACGCCGCATTCATGAGAGCAAGTCGCATGGTGACACGTGGCAATATAAGATATTTGGCTCCTTCTTGTTGCCTATCGTATGTGCTGACTCAGCGCGTGGCTTTCAGTCTCGAACTTTGCGATTCATGTCACGTGACCCCAAGATACCCGGTCCCGGTTTTTTATTTTACTTTTATCAGTAAAATCTATTAATAATTACTAAACTTCTCAACAAGTTTTTTAATTTTAAATTTACTACTTGTAATCACTCCACTAGCTTTGACCGACATGTAAGAGTAATTAATGATGATTGAAGAGGTTGATTTCGTCCATCTAAACTCTTATTTCAACTTGTCACGTACTAATGTTAATAAAAAAAATAGAGTTTTCCACTGTAAAAGAAAATTTTAATTAATGCTTATTCAAAGTTTTGTTGAATACGTTCTGTTGTAATTATATGTTTTCCTAAACCAGAGTTAAAGAAATTTAATTTTGGAAGCAAATATTTTTAGATTAGGAAATTATGTATTTACTTCTATTTAATTTAAATGAATTAGAGGGAAAATATCTGTAAAACAAAAATACTACTAGTATATTTGTTAAAAAAATCTTACTATATCTAACCATTTTACAGCTAGGAGTAACGTGGCAAGCAACCTAGGATTTGCCGCCATTTATAATTCGGTGTGGTACGTCTCTAGGCTTTTTCTGTATTCTTTGTTCCCTCACGCGCTCTCCCACCACTACTTGCTCTGCGTGTATTTGCACGCGCTTCTCAAGCATTTTTGTTTGACACAATATTTGAAAGAAGAAGATCCTAACGAGGATATTAATCGATGCAATGAATATATATAAACCGTACGTAGTACTACAATGTAAAATCTTACAGTATCAGAGATTTACAAATTAGTTTTGCAAAATCATGGTTAAATTTAATATATCTCGAAATAGCCATTATAGTTTTAATTTTTTTAATTGAAAGACGTCTGGAAAAAAAATGTTATATATTTAATACAGCTCATAACTAATTTTGCTTTTTTTCAATTTTCAAAAACAAATTATTAATACGAATAAAAACCTTATAATTAGAATGAAAAAATATAACAAGCCAGTATTCAAATGTAGTCATATTCTAGTCAACAGTTCCGAAATCTAGTTAGTATCTGATTTAGATTGATTGTATATGAATAGAATCATATTAGCCAGGAATAGAAATACGGAATCATTAATTTATAAAGCAATTAGTCTAACAACTCGTCTTTTTGCACAAAACTACAAATAATAAGAGATAAAAAAAAAACGTTTCAAATCTACCATCAATGATACTCCGAATACTAAAAAGACTAAGAAATGCATGTACACATACATTTAAACAATTGACAAAAGATTTGATGTTACTCGAATTAGTTCTATATTTACGCTGCTAAAAACAAAAAAATATCTATAGCTAGTAGCTATACATGAACTGAGGAAATGTGTGTTCACAAGAGTTGTAACAGTTACTTAATTAGCATGCATAGAATTTAAATAAGTTAAAGAATTATAACCAAAAAATTAAAACTACTCTAGGCAAAAATCTATGAAATCATATTATAAATGTATGTCTCGAAATATTCTAAAATTCTAGGAAATTTTTTTAGAAAGCATATATATATTTGATGTGTGAAATATATATAATAACTCCAATGTTATACATATTCATACAATTATGTTGTATCGTTTTTTTTTTATAATCGGGATCACGTTAGAATGAACCACCAGATGAACATGTTATAACCGGTACATTGTTATCATAGGTTGTTAGATATAATGCACTTCATTAATCGTCCTTGTCCATGAACATTTGTCACATGTTTTGTATCATCATGAATCATGATCACCTTCTATTCATTCTTCACCTTTTAAACTCAAATATATACGATTATGAAATAACACTAACATATTTTTGAGACATAAAACTGTCGACTTAACTGTCAAAACACAATAATAAAATTTAAGGTGAATTATCGATATAGGTAAATAAAGTTGTCAGGTGGTTTTTTACATTATTGATAATCTATAAGTTTCAACGACATGAATTGAATGGTTTGGCTTATGGGGGTTAGAGATGAGATACGTATTGTCTCTAACAAGTCCGATATGAATTCTGGTCGGCCCGTCTAACAAGTTCTAGGTCGGTAACATAAAAGGAAATCTTCCATTTATCGAGCGACCCGGGGAAAAAGGAAACTCCTTACCGACAAGAGTTTCTTATTCCAAGCAGGTTGAAGACCGACCTGATCGGCTATAAATATAGGAAGTCCTCGACTCCTCAATCTATCCAAAAATCATCTATCGAGACCTAGGGCAAACTAAGCAATCTGATTGTTCTAGTTTTCGATTTACTTTCTATAAAAGTTTAGGTCGGCGTTCTTATTCCGACGATCTAAACCCTCGTGTATTCATTCAAGCTCCGGCTTCTTCTAATAAAAGACCTCTTTAAACCCACAAACCCTAGTTCTTTCGTAGATCGAACTTGAGTTTTTACAGTTGGCACCGTCTGTGGGAAATAAAAGAGTAATCTTTAACTTAGAACAGAGTTTGAAGATGGTTCAAACACCGATCAACACTACCGACCTCACAGGAGCCTCCGATCCGACAAGAAACATTCAGGATCCGATCATCGACCTAGCCGCAGGGCTTCCGGTGGCCCACCAGACCGATCAGGAAGACAACACAACTACCGCACAGAACACTGGGGGAACAGACCAGGTCAGTCAGACGGGTGGCACAAACACGACCAGCCTGCCATAGCCACCTCCCATCGACATGGCCACGATCATCAGGTCGATTGCAGCACAGTTGCAACAGGGGGGATGGATGCTCGCTTCGAGTCCCTCCGTGCCGAGCAGATAGCTTACAGAGAAGACTTGGATCGGCTTATAAACTCTAGGGTTCATACCCAAGAGCAGGTCGATCTTATCACTCCCCCTCGCCCTTCGATCCGCAACACAGATACGACCAGGCTGGTCAACAACTTGTTTGGCACGACACCGACGGACGACTTACGGAGAGCACAGGCAGACGGCTCCCATGCCCGCTCATCTCGCAATATCGCAGGAACCGACCCGACGACAACCTCGGAACTCGATCTGCTCCACCAACGCCTTGATGATATCTACAGCAAGATTCACAAGGCGACGACTTCAGCGCCCGAGTTGGATAAGATTCTTCAGGAGACACAGCAAACCCCATTCACGTCGGCTATCAACAATGCTCCTCTTAAGGACATAGGTCGGATGAAGCTACCTCCGAATTACTCCGGCACGACATACCCGAAGCGACACCTGACCGCGTTCAACGCAGTCATGGGACGTGCTTGCTTCACCGATGAGGAACGGGAAGCATGCCTCTGTCAATACTTTGTGGAGACGCTCTCCGGAAGCGCCCTCACCTGGTTCTCACAGCTTCCCAAGAACTCCATCGACAGCTTCAAGGAGCTCACAGCTCGGTTCCTGAAGCATTATTCGATTTACATCGACACGGAGTCCACAACGCTCGATCTATGGGCATGCGTCCAGGGCGACACGGAACAGCTGCGCGATTTTATCGATCGATTCCGATCAATCGTCTCCCAGTGCAGTCTGTCGGACGAACTGTGTTTCAATATTCTTATCAAGAATTTGAAGGATGATTCATCGTTTTGTGAACGATTGAAGACAGGAAAAACCAAAACCCTCGAAGATGCTTTGCACAAGGCATCCGGGTACATCAGAGTCGAGGAAGACCGGGCAGCCAAGGCCAAGACTAAGTTGGCCGATGAGAAATCTTCGCGCGACAAGAAAGGCAGATTGACGAGTCAGGAAGATTACAAAGAGCTCCGTCAGCACTACGACAAGGATGACCAGAATCGCAAGAGCATCAATGCAGTTGGACGACCAAAAAAGCCATGGAACGTGTGGGACCGCTCGAGCGACAGAGACCCCGACAGCAAGAAGCCGTGGTGCAAATACTATAGGGCGCACGGTCATCATACCGATGATTGCCGCATCCTCCCAGCCCTCTTGAGGAAGAGGTGGGACGATGGCGAGATCACCCTTCCAGAACCCCAGAGTTCACGACAATCTGACGATAAGGACAGGCGACCCGATGACGATCGCGATAGAAGAGATAACACTGATCGCCCTTCTAAACGCGAGGGCAAAGAAGCAAAGCGTGACCGTGAAGACGATCACACACCTCCAAGCTCACCACGTCGGCGGATCAACATGATCATAGGAGGGCTCCTCTCGTGCATCGACTCGATAAATTCAATTAAACGGCACGAACGGACGGCAGCCAATCCCCCGAAGGACGCACCACTACTGTTCAAGGACGACCTACCAATCACATTCACAGAGCAGGATGCGCATGACATCGACCGACCTCATAACGATCCACTCGTCATCTCACTACGACTCGGAGAGGACGATGTCTCCAAAGTGTTGATCGACACTGGAAGTTCGGTCAACCT